AAAAACAGCTTAGTGAAAAGTGTTTACAGTTTAAAAGCAAATAGAAAGTCCTATTTTTTACATTTCTTTTCTTAATATTTTTTTGCAGATTTGCACATGTACAAGGTTTAAAATGTTCATGAAATATTTTCTAAGAATATTGACGTTTTGAGCAGCTGCATGTTTGAGCAGCTGCATTCCTCTAGGTCAAAGATTAAAAAATGTGATTTACAATAAAAGGTCATTTACAAATTATATAAAAGTTTATTTATTAATGAGTAACGTCTCTCTTGAGTGAATGTGCAAATTTTTTATGTTATCAGGTTTTACCATGTTATTACAACATTTAACCACTTTTTATGAATTTAAAAATTAAGAAATTCTTTCAAATTTAAATCTTGTACAAGAACTACAGCAAAAACCAGTTTGATGCATATTTTATCAGTATTTTAGAAATTTTATTTGAATATTACCAGTACTGACTTCAATGGATTTCATTAAATTCCTTTGAACACAACTGCTGAAAACAGTCTAAATTTATGAAACCTACACATTCAAAACATTATTACTCTGAAATTTTTCATGTAAATGTTAAGTGTAAGTGGTGAAATGTTAAGTAATGTAAGGTCTTTCATGACTCTACATATGCTGGGGTGTGAATTTGATAGGTGCTTGATATAAAATAAATGGTGCTTTAAAAAGTCCTTGAAAGTCCTTGAATCTGGTGTTCATGAAAGAGTGAGAACCCTGTGAATGGGTGCTGTCAGAATGAGAGAGTTCAAACATCTGGATTATTGTGATGTCCAAACATCACAATAATCCACAAGTAATCCACATGACTCCAGTCCATCAATTAATGTCTTGTGAAGCGAAAAACTGTGAGTTTTGTAAGCATTAAATCCATCATTAAGATTATTAACCTCAAACCCTTGCTTCTAGCTAAAATAGTCTTCTATCCATAATATTGCTTTCTCCAGTGAAAAAGTCATCTCATCCGAATCAGTGGAGAGAAATATGCAAAGAGCAAGCACCGTTTACAAGGACAATCAGTCCAAAACAGTTCTAAATATCTCTTTGAATTTTTACTGGAGGAAGCTTATTATGGACCAGGGACCATTATTTTGGCGATGGTTTAAAGTTAAAACGCATTAATGATGGATTTGTTTCTTACAAAACACACAGCTTTTCATTTCACAAAACGTTTCTGTTCTGATGAAGAAACAAACTCATCTACATCTTGAATGGCCTGAAGGTGAATACATTTTCAGCAAATTTTAAGTTCTGGGTGAACTATAATAAGTATCGCTTTTTATTTCTCCTCTTTCCTACTACTTGTTTCTATAGAGTTTTAGCTTTTAGTTTTAATTACTTTTTCTTATTTGTAAGTCGCTTTGGATAAAAGCGTCTGCTAAATGTCTAAAAGTAAAAGTAAGTAACTATTCCTTTAAGTCTCTAGATATTTTTGGGGGGCTACTACTGTAACAGATCACTGAAACTACTTTCTCTACTTTGCAACATCTGCGCGAATCCTTTGCACGACTGAATTAGATGTGGCCATATTGCATTTAATTGAGTTTCCAAGAGGGAATTTTCATGTTAAGAGTAAGATGCTGTCAGAGGACTAGAAATATTGCACTGTAACTCAATTACAGCACAGTAAGCATTATGCACACCATGAAAAAAGGGATTTCCTTTGAGCACCCATGGAAATGAAGAAAAACACACTCTTGTTTCCTTTCGTTATTTGGTGTCACATCAAAGAGATTGATTGTGTGGATTGGTGTATGTTTGGTTTGTGTGTGTGTGTGTAATTTTCATGTAGATGAGATTCATCTGTAGTGTATAAGCGCAGATGCTGAGCTGCAGCTGGTGTGATGTTTTTGATAGGAAATCACTTTCACTCAAACCTTCTGTTGTTCCTTTTTTTTCCTCTCTGTCTTTTATGTCTCTCTCTCTTTTGTCCACAAGGTACAAATATCACACACATACATACTGGACACTTTACCTACTCACACAATACTCAAAATACACATTTCTCATTCTCATTCATTCCTGCTTTTCCACGTTTTCGCTTCTTTTCCCATCACTCTTTATTTTTTCACATATTTACAATTGGAGAATTTGGAGTATAAACAAGCAAATCTCAATAGCTGTTGCTCCTGTGGCATAACCCATCTAGGAAGTACACAACCTGGTGTGTTTTGGTATTGAACAGCCACTTATCACAATAAAATCTATTCCCAATGGATTTCTTTCTAGTGAAATATCCTGTTTCACCATTTCAAATATGTAAAATTATGGAAGTAAAATGGTCCTGAATTCCGTTTCATGTTGATTTTAATTGCATGGAAAGAGAAAGTTCAATTACTTGCAGGATTTATTTTTCCCTATGCAAAGAGTAAAACTATTTTTAAAAAAGTTTAATGTTTTGATCTATATTCATAATAGAATTATCACTTTCCCTTTCAGTCGGTCACTCTCGACGTCACGTCAGATGACCGACGAATTGGGATCTCACTTAGAGAGACCAATCTACTTTGAGTGTAAACTAAACGAGCCAATGCACATTGGCATGCGATTATTGCATCCAGCTGCCGCTGATCACAGCGTGAGTATAAGTAGGCAGCAGATGCAGCGCATATTCAGCTTTTCGCTTCGGAGCCGAGCGATCACATCGTTCTGCTCCTGACTACTCTACTGAGAGAAGAAGACTGAACGAGTTCAGCGCGCTCTTTGAGAGCTCTTCGTGTGGGCGGTATGGCGCTTCAGCGGTGGTGGTTTCCCGTGTCGAGTGGTTTGCACACATCAGGCTGCACTACCCCCTATTTGTGTTGCAGGCGGCCATCTCCCCTGTGCGCCTCAGCATGCTAAAATAACTATTTCCCTAAAAGAGCAATTACGGGTGCGTCTTTTGTGGTCTCTGGGTCGTGCGATGTCCACTATGGTGGTCCAGGAGCGCCATCTCTGGCTGTGTCTGGCCGACATGCGTGAGACGGACAAGACACGATTCTTGAATCGTGTCCCAGACCAGCCTTTTCGGCGACACGGTGGAGAACTTTGCCCAGCAGTTCTCCACTGGCCAAAAGCAGACTGAGGCCATCAGGTACATCCTACCTCGGCGTGCAGCTGCTGCCGTCGCCGAGGGCGGCCACCGCCCCCGCTCCCGCGGCCTCCAGCAAAGCTGCGCCGTGGAGCCGGTCGCAGGGCAGCTGCCCCGCCCATCCAGGCCCCCACCAAACCTGGTGGCAAGCGAAAGAGCAAGAGGCCCTGAGACGGGCAACCCAGAGGTGGAGGGACCTGCTCTTCGGGAGATGGTGAGCACACCACTCCCTCCCCCGGAGGAGGGCCGGGCGGAGAATCTTTTCATCTTTTTCCGCCACTGACCTCTCAGTCGGTGGTACCCAAATACTCGACAAAGAGCAATTCCTCTATTTCTGGGTCCCCAGAGGGGACGGGGGGTTGTGGACGATCCAGTGCGTATCACACTCACCCTCCTCTCT